GTACACATATCTATACATACACGAATACAAGTACAACGGCGTGTATGTATACAACTCCAAATGCGTAAACATATACGTATACAATACACAGATGCATGTAAACATACCTATGCAGAAACATGTGCATGAACATATACATATGAGCGCATACGCCCGCATACATATAGATACACACGTTCATAAGTTGTGCACACATACACCTAAACATCTACGGATACGCATACAAATACCTATACGTATACCTATACATATACCCATACCGCTACAGTCGCATATACTCATAACGTACATACGCATGCATACGCATTCACGTGTACATATACATGTGCACAAACACATACAAATACGAGAACCTAGGCAACTACACATACATATACAGAATCACATGCACATGTACGTAGGCATATACATGTACATAAACAAATGTAGGTATGCATGCATGCAAATGTACGTATGTATATGTATACACACATCTACATTCACATATACACATGCGCATACATATACATAAACATATGAAAGTATGTAGACATAGACTCATACATATATATACAGTATGTTCGGTGTAGTTCCTTGTTTGGCTCTTGCATCCAGTACAAAGCCTTTCTTTTCGCGAGGCCATCTCAAAATGATTCCTTGCGTAAAGCCGCCACAAAGAAAATATTCTGTATAAGGCCGCCACGAAAGGATTCCTTCTCACGGCCGCCACTAAATGAAATCCAGCTGCAAAGCCGTTACCAAAGAGAACCCTTTTGCAAATCCGTGGCAAAGAGAGTCCTTTTGCAAGGCTGACTACAAGCAAATCCTTGTCTGAGGGTGCCGCACAGGGACATCCTCTTGCAAAGCCACTACACAAGGAAACCGTGTTGTAAGTTACGAAAAGAATCCAGGCGCAAGACCATCGCAAATGGAATTATGTTGCAAGGTTTGAAGAGAGAATCCTCGTGCAAAGCCGCCGCAAATAGAAAAATGTTTGAAAAAGCTGCCACAGAAGAATATCATGTAGCGCGGCCGCACACAAGAGAATCGTTCTTGTAAAGCTGCCACAGAAAGAAGTATGATAAATATGATACTCGAGAAAAAAAACATCAGAGTCTTATTGATCTTACGTGTGATCCCTTTGTAATTGCTCCTCAGGCTTATGAAGCGTACGAGGGCTAGGAAGGCCATGAGGGCTAGGGCTATAGGGCCAGGGCTATAGGGCTATAGGGCAGTAGGGCTCCAGGGCTATAGGGCTACAGGGCTGTAGCGCTATAGGGATATGGGGCTATAGGGCTATTGGGCTATAAGGCTATAGGGCTATAAGGCTATAGGCCTGTAGGGCTGTAGGGCTATAGGGCTATAGGGCTGTAGGGATATTTGGCTATAGGGCTATATAGGGCTGTAGGGCTATAGGGCTATAGGGCTATAGGGCTATAGGGCTATAGGGCTGTATGGGCTATAGGGCTATAGGGCTATACGGCTATAGAGGTATAGGGCGATAGTGCTGTAGGGCTATAAGGCTATAGGGCTATAGGGCTATAGGGCGATAGAGCACCCGGGCACCCGGGCACCCGGGCACCCCCGGGCACCTCTGGGCACCCGCGGGCACCTCCAGGCACTACCGGGCACCCGGGCACCCCCAGGCACCTGGGCAGCCGGGCACCCGGGCCGGCCACCGAAATCGGCGACGCACCTCACCTAACCATATGAATCCGCAAGGATTTCTACAGAGGCAAGCTCTGATTGGGGAATGTTCGAGGCACCACGAAAAAAAAATGCCGCCGCCACCGCCAGCAACAAAAAATCCGTTTTGCAAATCCGTCGCACAAATAATATTTACGCAATGCAGCCACAACATTTAAACAGTTTGGTCGTGATCCAGCGGGTTGTAAGTTTGCTCGTTCTTCTCTCCCTCCTTTCCGTCGTTGTTCTCGTCCTCATATTTATTCCTCCTCCACTTCATTTCCGAGCCCTTCGCGATCTCGTCGTGTCCCATTATTTCTAAGTATTTCCCTTATGTCTTGTTTGATCGTCATCTTTTTCCGCCTCTTCCGTATCTTCCTCTCAACTCTCCTTTTCGCATAGCGACCATAAACGCCATCATCATCATCATCATCATCATCATCATCATCATCATCATCATCATCATGATCATCATCATCGTTTCTCCCTTGCCATTATCCTCATTGGGCTCTCTTCCGCCCTCCACCAAAGAAAAAGAAATACGCACGATGATTTCAGGATGGGCGATGAGATTAATGAAGATAACGATGGGAATGCAGGAGTACATTGATTGTATTCATCGTCATCCTCGCATCCCCATCATATTCGTCGTCGCTGTTTTGTTCCCTGCTCCTCCGCATCCTCGAATCTTCTTGCCCTTCGCCACTGTCGATGGGACGGGACAGTGAGAAGTGAATGGCGATGAGGAGAATGAGGAATATGCGGAGCCGTCCTCATCTCACCCTCCACCCCCATCCGCCTCCTCCGCCCCTCCCCACCTCATCCTCCGACCAAGTGAACGTGTGAGGACGGGGGAAAAGAACTGGATATGGAGATTGGGGATGGGGTGGAAGAGCGGAGGAGGGCAGATGATGGAAAGGACGTGTGGGAGAGGAGGGAGGGAGGAGAAGGATGATGACAACGAGGGGGGGCAGGATGAGATTGATTATTTCTCCATATTGTCTTCGTCGTAGTTCGTACCATCTATTTAGTGGTCAAGTGGTTTGTGGACATGGAATGAGGGGTGCATCATCCTCCTCTCCTGCACATCCTCCATGACATCACTGGCCTCCTCTCTCGGTTTCCTTCCGTCCCATCCCCATCCCTATCATCATCACCACCACCGTCATCATCCTCATGATCAATACCCGTGTCCTCCCTACTTCTCGCGCTCGTCCCGAAAGTATCGCAAACGCACCTTTCTGCTTCCCGAAGAGGGGGAGATATGTCGAGGATGGCAAAGCAAAAGAATGACGCAAATTCCGACCACTCTTTTGGCAAATTCACCACTTGATCAAAGTCCGCACATTCCGGATGCATCCTTATCATCCCTTTCCTCATCCCCATCGCAGTCCTCACTATCATTCCCAGCCTCACCAGTATCACTTCCCTTCCTCTTCGTTGTGTTCGCCCGATCTTCTCTTCCTTCCACGAAGAGAAGCAGGTGTGCTGATACTGGGGGAGAAGGAAAATGACGAATGAGGATGCGTGTGGAAAGGAATATGATCCTCCTCCTCCCCTGCCTGCGGTTTCCCATATATATATATATATATATACATACATATACATATCTATATATATATACATATATATATATATATATATGCATATATCCTCCATGTCAATTCCTCCTTCGCCGAAGAAGGGTATACGCCTACGGCGGAGGACGATGCTAATGACGAGGATGAGGTGCAGGAGACCAGAAGATTGCGTGTTGGTTGACAATCTGGTGGCGCCGGCGTGACACACTCATCTCATCCACCTCACTGCGCCACAGCAGTGAACTGCACATCATGAACGAATACAGTAAACAAGCGTTGGTAGCAAAATTGGTTGCAACATCTCAAGTTCCAGTGCTCCTCTTCAAAACCTCCACTACCCTCTCCACCCGTCCCTGAGGTTTGTTGCGTCCCCCCGCGATGTGTCAGGGGGTCCAGGGGTCCTTCTTGACCCAAAATGACTGCATGAGGGCATCCGGTGCTCCCGCTCCAAGATGGCTCAAGACAATCTCCCACATTTTTCCGAAAGGCCCAAAGAGAGCCACAAGACAGTTCCGAACCTCCGTCTCCCCCTCCTCCTTCTCCTCCTCCTTCTCCTCCTCCTCCTCCTTTTTCTCCTCCTCCCTCATCCGCCTCCCTCAAATATCCTCCATCTTCATGCTTCCTCACTCTTCTCTACGGACGACAAAAGAAAATTGGAGAGAGCGAAAGGAGGAAAACGGCTGCAGAGGGGAGTCCACCGAGGGAAAGGGGAGGGAAGAGCAGGGCCACCGCTGAGCGAGGAGGAGAAGGAAGTGGAGGAAAACTTAGCGGAAGAAGGAGGAGGGGGAGGAGGGGCGGGGAGGGAGGATGAGAAAGGGGAGGGAGTGGGAAAGGGTGACGGAGGAGGGAGGAGGGAGGAGAAGGAGGAGGAGGACGAGGAGGAGGAGGAGGAGGAGGAGGGAGGAGGGAGAAGGGAGGAAGAGGAGGAGGAGGAGGAGGGGGGGGAGGAGAAGCTAGAGAAGGGGAGGGAGGACGAGGTTAAGAAGCAGAAAGAAGCAGCAAAAGGAGCAGGCGGAGACCTGCCACGAGGGCAGGAGTGGTCTCCTCCCAACCCCCCGCTGGCCCTGCTTTCAGCACTTTCAGGCGGCCGCCTGGACCCCTCTCCCAGTGGATCCCTGTGGCTTCCGCCTCCAGACACACAAACACACACACACACACACACACACACACACACACACACACACGCTGGCCCATGCTGCCGCACTTTGCGGCGCACGCTTAGATTCCTGTGAGCCGCTGCGGAGTCCTGTGGCTCTCCCTTCACTGGCCCTTATTGGCGCAATTTCCACTGGC